CACAGCAACCTCAAACTCTTGGGCTTAAGTGATTCTCTTGCCTCAGCCTCCCAAGTAGCTGGGACTGCAGGCACCCACCACAGTGCCTGGCTATTTTTGTTGTTGTAGCTGTCATTGTTGTTTGGCAGGCCCAGGCTGGGTTTGAACCCACCAGCTCTGGCATATGTTGCCTGGTCCATTGTTTTCATTTCTATTGAAGAATTTAAGTTGTAGTTGAGCCCTTCACCCAGGGGCTCTCACATTGTGCATAGCAGGTGAGATTCCGTCAATCACCCTCCCTCTCCACTCCCTCTCTTTAGACTGTACTTATGTTTTTCTTTCAAAAATTTTTGTTTGTTTTTAAAAATGCCACAAATGAATTTAATTTGATATTCTATTTGAATATTTTATTCACTCTAATTTCAGATTGAAGAAGAAATAAAAGGATGTTTGCAGTTTTTGCAATATGTTTACTCAACATTTGGCTTCTTCTTCCAATTAGACCTGTCAACAAGGCCTGAAAACTTCCTGGGAGAGATAGAGATGTGGGATGAAGCTGAAAAGGTAAAGGAGAAACAAAGTGCTTACCCTCCAGGTCTGCTGATGAGGAAGCACCGACAGACTGCACTTCCCTTGTAGGAGGATGCAATACTTTGTAGTAGAAATTTCAAAATTGCAAGTTTGTGACAAGTATGCAGATTATAGAGGGTGGCTATCCAGTTTTCTTCATTATAGTGATAATATTAAAACCTTACATTTGCTTCACACTTTAAAGTTCATCTTAGATTTTCATTTGTACTCGTTTCAGTGTTGGTCACTGGCAATGACATCATCTGGTTTGCGTAGCTTATGTTAAACCATTGCCTCTTTAGTCCTTATAGTCTGATTTGCAGAGTCCCAGGACTGCATGTTCTGGGGGGATGTGTGTATCTGATGCAGGAGTCCCCTTCACAGGCACACATGGGGCACCTTCTTGTGTCTAAAGATGCCCACACTCAGGCAGGATGTCCAAGCTTTGCAGAACAAGATTAAGGAACTCGTCACATTCCTTTATTTTTTCTTAGTAAAGGATTAAAGTAAAGGATGTAGTGTGTCTTCTATGTTAGTTTTTAAAAAAATTTATTTTAAATTATTGTAAGTACACAATTGTTGTATATCTTTAGAGAGTACATGTGATATTTGATACAGGCATATAAGTGAATTAGTCACATCAAGGTAATTGGGGTATCTGTCACTTCAGGCATTGATCATTTCTTTGTGTTAGGAACATTGTTCCACTTGTTTAGCTATTTAAACATATACTGTAACTCGTTGATTCTAGTCACTTTGTTTTGTTATTATCAAATATTGTTCATTCTGACTATTTATGTTTTTGTACCAATTAACCATCCCCACTTTATCCTCCTCTCTCTGCTACCCTTGCCATCTTCTGGTAACTGTCATTTTACTGTTCATGAGATCAAGTGTTTTTAATATTTAGCTACCCCATGTGAGTGAGAACAGGTACAATTTGTCTGTGAGCAGCTTGTTTCACTTAATATAATGCTCTCTAGCTCCATCTGTCTTGTTTCAAATGGCAGGATTTTATTCTTTCTTGTGCCTGTATAATAATCCACAATATGGTGGAATATGACACAATTCACACAATTGTGTAAACGTACTACAATTTCTTTATCCATTTATATATTGATGAGCACTTAGGTTGATTCTGTATCTTAGGTCTTATGAATAGTGCTGCAGTGAACACAGGAGTACAGATGTCTTTTCGGTAGACTAAATTCCTCCCCTTTGGACATATACCCAGTAGTTGGATTGCTGGATCATGTGGTAGTTCTATTTTTAGTTTTGTGAGGAAGCTCCACACTGTTCTCCATAGTGGTCGCACTAATTTACATTCCCACCCACAGTGTACGAGGGTTTCCTTTTCTCCACATTCTCACTAGCATTCATTATTGCCTGTCTTCTTTTTTTATTGTTGGGTCTTTTTGCAGTTTTTGGCCAGGACCAGGTTTGAACCCACCAACTCTGGTATATGGGGCCAGTGCCCTACTCCTTTGAGCCACAGGCGCAGCCCATTATTGCCTGTCTTTTTGATAAAATCCATTTTAACTGTAGTGAGGTAATCTCTTACTGTAGTTTTGATTTGCATTTTTCTGATGATGAATAAAGTTGAGCATTTAAAAATGAACATGGCATATGTCCAGACACCTATTCTGCCTGTTAGTCCCCCTCTTCTGGGGTATAGTGCCCCCATATCCCCCTGGTGCAGTGTGACCCCACTGGTGTCACTTGGGACACATTGCTGTTTGTGGCTTCAACCCACAACTTTAAGGTCTTTTCCATCTTAACACTATCACACACTGTGGCTGGAACTTTTGTACTAGCAAAGATTTCTTTTTCTTTCTTCACAATTTTCATAGAAGATTTGTTCTTACTGTAGACCTAAACAGTCTCAGCATAGGATTTTTTTCTTTCCTTGCTGAGAAAATTCGTGAGAAGTATGCAGATTATAGAGTGTGACTATAAAGGTGGAAGTTCTCTTTCCCTTCATGGCTTCCCTTGGCATATCTTTGGCCAGCCTCACTCTCTTGTACTTTGTGACCATGAGTAAGTAAAACCAACGTTACTTGAACACAAGTACTGCAACAGTGAATCTGGTAACCAAGACAGAGACTGAGGGACCAATGGGCAGGGAGCATAGATGGCATGCGGCTCTGGACAAAGGAAGGAATCACATCCCAGGCAAGATGCAGTGAGATTTTATCCCACTACTGACAACAGCACACAACTTAAAACTTAATGAGTAGTTCATCTCTAGAATTTCTTATTTAATATTTTTGGACCGTAGTTGACTGTGGGTAACTGAAACCGTAGAAAAGAAAACCTTAGATGAGAGGTAACTACTGTATTCTCAAGAGCTGAACACACATATCACAAGAAATGAGAATCAGAGAACCATTGTATTAATAGTGTAATAATTGTCTTGATATTATTATTAGGTACAGAGATTAGGCAGAGGCTGCATAGAAGCAGTTTAGACTTGAGGTCTAAAGATTGGGCCTTCTCCACTGCCCCAATATTCATTAGTGATATTGGTCTATAATTTTCTTTTCTTGTTGGGTCTTTTCCTGGTTTGAGGATCAAGGTGATGTTTGCTTCATAGAATGTGTTGGGTAGTATTCCATCTTTTTCTATATTTTGGAAAAGGTTGAGTAATATAGGTACTAGTTCCTCTTTAAAGGTTTGGTAGAATTCTGACGTGAAGCCATCTGGTCCTGGGCTTTTCTTTTTAGGGAGATTTTGTATAGTTGATGCTATTTCAGAACTTGATATAGGCCTGTTCAACATTTCCACTTCATTCTGGCTAAGTCCTGGAAAGTAGCGTGCTTCCAAGTATTGGTCGATTTCCTTCAGATTGTCATATTTCTAGGAATAAAGTTTCTTGTAATATTCATTAAGGATTTTTTTAATTTCTAAGGGGTCTGTTGTTACATAGTCTTTATCATTTCTGATTGATGAGATTAGAGATTTTACTCTTTTTTTCCTGGATAGGTTTGCCAAAGGTTTATCTATCTTATTGACCTTTTCAAAAAACCAACTTTTTGATTTATTGATCTGTTGTATAATCCTTATTTTCAATTTCATTTAATTCTGCTCTAATTTTGGTTATTTCTTTTTTTCAGCTGGGCTTGGGATTGGAATGTTCTTCTTTTTCTAGTTGCTTGAGATGTCCCATTAAGTTGTGAACTTCCTCTCTTTCTGTTCTCTTGAGGAAGGCTTGCAATGCTATAAATTTCCCTCTTAGGACTGCCTTTGTGTTATCCCAGAGGTTCTGATAATTCATGTCTTCATTATCATTTTGTTCCAAAAATTTGGTAATTTCCTTCTTAATCTCATCTTTGACCCATCTGTCATTTAGCATAAGGTTATTTAGCTTCCATGTTTTTGTTTGAGTATGCAGATTCCTATTGTTACTGAGTTCAACTTTTATTCCATGATGGTCCAAGAAGATGCAAAGAATAATTCCTATTCTTTTAAATTTGCTGAGGTTAGACTTGTGACCTAAGATGTGATCAATTTTGGAGTATGTTCCAGGGGCTGATGAGAAAAATGTGTATTCAGTTTTGTTAGGATGAAATACTCTGTAGATGTCTGTTAAATCCAAATGTAGATGTTTAAGTTTAAATCTAAAATTTCTTTGCTCAGCTTCTTATTGGAGGATATATCCAGTACTGCCAAAGGAGTGTTAAAATCTCTAACTATGATGGAGCTGGAAGAAATCAAGTAGCTCATGCTTGTAGAGGTTCTCTTATAAATTGAGGTGCATTCTGGTCGGTGCATAAATATTAATAATTGAAATCTCGTCATATTGAGTATTACCCTTAACAAATATAAGGTGACCATCCTTAACCGTGCTTACTTTTATTGTTTTAAGGCCTATTGTATCTGCGAATAAAATTGCAACACCTGCTTTTTTCTGCTTTCCATTTGCCTGGAATATAGATGACCATCCTTTCACCCTGAGTCTATATTTATCTTGTATGGTAAGAAGAGATTCTTGTATGCAGCAGGTATCTGGCCTGAGTTTTTGTATCTAGTCAGCCAACCTGTGCCTCTTTAGAGGATAATGTAAGCCATTCATATTAATTGAGAATATTGATAAGCCTGGTAGAATTTTGGGTGTCAAGTTTTTCTTAAGTCCAGTAGACATTTTTAATCCTTTTGCCACTGTGGAAGTTGGAATTTGATCAAAAGTTTCTGAGTGAGTTTACTATTGTGATGGAGGATTGCACTGGTCATTATGGAGGATAGGTCTGAGAATATCCTGGAGAGCTGGTTTAGTTATGGCAAATTTCTTAAACATGTGAATGTCATTAAAGTATTTAATTTCTCCATCATAAATGAAACTCAGGCTCGGTGCCTGTGGCTCAAGCGGCTAAGGCGCCAGCCACATACACCTAAGGTGGCAGGTTCGAATCCCCAGCCCGGGCCCGCCAAACAATGATGGCTGCAACCAAAAAATGGCCGGGCGTTGTGGTGGATGCCTGTGGTCCCAGCTACTTGGGAGGCTGAGGCAGGAGACTTGCTTGAGCCCAGGAGTTGGAGGTTTCTGTGAGTGTGATGCCATGGCACTCTACCCAGGGGGATAGCTTGAGGCTCCATCTCAAAAAATAAATAAATAAATGAAACTCAGTTTAGCTGGATATAGGATCCTGGGTTGAAAGTTATTTTGTTTTAGGAGATTAAAAGTTGATGACCACCCTGTTGTTGTGTGTTCTTTGGAGCTTCTGATCCGGGGACGCAGGGGAAAGAACTGCAGATGGAATGAATATTCAAGGGAGACCAGGACTCGCTCTGGTCGGCGGCCCCACTAAACTTTACTGATTATCTTATATACTTTCCAACATTTATTAAGAATTTAACACATATACAAAGAAGTCAAGTAACATGAAGAAGCAACCATTTAAGATTACAATTTAGTGTGAAGTCTGAGGAACACATATACAATTGATTTTGTTTAGAATAAAACATTTTGGAGCCTGGTTGTCGGTCCTTGCTTGCCC